GACCAAAACCCCCCCTTTTTAATTGTAAAAGCCATTACGGCTTGTCCTATCACTACAGCCCCTAATGAAGAGTCTCTCCCCAACATCCCTATAGGCCCCCTTCAGATAATTGATTTGAAGCATTTTTCAATAGACTTATTTTATCAGAATTTACATACTTTTTTGTATTCCATTCTTTAAAGGTAGTGTCAGATACAGATACAATCTATTGTATTCTCTTACGTGTAGCAGTTTTCTTACCTGAATACATATCCCTGTCTCTGTCCAGTGTTGTAAATTGCTTTCCATTATGCCATATCATGGAATCACCTGCGTTTCCTTGATATGTGCCTAAACGTAGCCTGTAGAATTCACTTTCAGGTTCCAGGCGGAAACTGCTGTATTCTGCATAAACCTTCTTGTTGCTCCAGTCCTCTAATTCAATCAATAGTCTGTAATTATCCTGGTTGGTAAGCATGTAAATATTTTCTAGTCCCAGCCAGTACTCTCCATCAATGTTTCCAAATCCTTTCTGTGCAAAAGAAGATCAGAAGTGGTGTTAGCTTGTGTTTCTTGTTTGTCAAACACTCATCAGCAGGAGTATTCCGAACCAGTGGAACTAGGTGACTGGAAGCTTGTTTTAAGCTTCTGAATGACTACTCAACCCATGCATTTGAATGTTTTATTTTGCTGCACTTGGCCATTTATTCAGTTGGACTGCTAGCTGCCTGAGGTACTGCCAGAATCAGTAAAGGTGGCAAAACTATTTGTTTTCTGTGATGCCCTCTTTTTAAGGTAAAGGGAGAGAGAATAGGGAAGTTGAAACAATACAAACAAAAGCTTCTTGATAAAGCTACAGGGATCTATAAGAATATATGAATAATGAAATTTAAGGGAGTATATTTCCAGGGTGGAAAAGGTATTTATGATACCAGCAGTTTCAGTGTTCATCTATGCTCTTACTAGATTTAGAAATATGAAGATGTCTTACCTTTCAAATCATAAGCTACTAGTACAGTAGCTGTGAAGTGGTATTTCATATCTGCTGTTTCTTGTCCCTGAGTGTCGTGGTTTGAGCTGAACCCAGGACACTGAGTAAACCAGCGTTGTTAATATTTGGTGTTGCAGCTAAAGGAGGTACATCACCCACCACAGCAATCTGTTGTGCTTCCTAGTCTCTGAGGTCTTCCTACCCTTGTTTTCAGGCCATTGATTAGATAGGACCTACAGTTGACTTCCTGCTACGAATCACTTCCTAAGGAAGTCTCTCTCCAGTAGATAAACAGTCTAGGCTCCTAATTCAAGCTGCAGTTTCACAAGTGGCTTGAGCTGATCTAGCATCATGCTGCTGCCAAAAATGGTAGCAGTGCTTTTGTCCTGGCTCATAGCCACATTTGCAGTATTTCCCGTGTGTCAACATTGTAGCTGTACAGCTACACAGAGATCAGGAAAGAAGCAGAAATGTGGGCATGAGGGACCTCTGTTGTCAGTGTTGCAGGCTTGCATTTAAAGCCAGTCACAGAGGTGCACGTTTGATACTTGAAATCAGGTAAATCTTCAGGCACTGCATTTTAATGAGAAATCTCTTGGGGTCAAATTTGCCCAAGCTTGAGTGGTTATCACCAGTTACACACTCTTCTACATTTTCTTTGCATTTTGTTGAAAATTATCATGGTTAATTTATAAAGCACTCTGTAACTGCCTTATAAAAAAAACGAACCAAACGAAACAACTCAAAACAAACCCAAACAAACAAATAACCAACCCAGACACAACCACCTACTTTTCTGAGAAGTAGACTTTGAATAACTGCTACTAAATGATTAACATTTAAATTATTAAATTCCAAGAATGCAAGAAGTGAAAATCATTGTGATTTTTTAATCAGTTCCTTTGTATATATGGTACTATTTTAAGATTACCAATCGAGTTAAATGTGGCGCAGCTCTCTCTTCTGATACAATGCACATGACAATTCTAGATCCACTACACAGTGTGGTGAGCACATCATAGGGAAAAACTTACATGTATGAAATCAGTAGGTTTTTATTAACCAAACCCAACCAAATGGATTTCTAGATTTCCGGTCTAGCATGTAATTACTTCAAAGCAGCATGCGTTTGTCATCCTAGGCATTATGCCTGCATAGTATCACAGTAAAACATGAGAATGTATTCCCCCTTCACCTACATCTTCAGACTTTTAACCTAACTTTACAGGTAGATGGTATTTCCTTTAATACATTATTAGGAACATTTTCAAGTTGAGGACCTGATCCTGCAAATCTGCTAATGTGCTTTAATGGATAATTCCACTGGCTGAGACTGCTTATTCATAAGGGAGACAATTAAGCTTTTAAAGTATTTGCTGTAGTTCTCAGTGTGTTAATAAAAATAATGTGTTTAGTTTGGTCTTTGTAATAAACTACTTCCCAGTCACTGTCCAGAATAACATGTCTCCCCAGTTGTGTTGTGCATTACAAATGCAGGCTAATTCGGATGGTAAGTTCATACAGAGTTCGGTAATGCATTGAGTGAAAAAGGACATTCCCACTGAAACATTTGCCTCTGAGGGATGACCACTCTTTTTAGTTACCTTTGTTAATAAAATTAATTTTACTATCTAACTTAAGCAGCTATATATTTGCAGTTCCTCAGTGTTTATCATTCAGTGCAACAGTTTGCAATGAAGAATTGCATTTGAAATGTTTACGTCATCTTGACTTCGCTAGGTAACGTCTGTGAAATGAAGTAGCTGATTTTCTGCATTCCAGAAGTTACCTTGTAACTGTCCCAGTTCCTGAAAAAGTTGACAGATCCGTCTGTCCTCTTTTGAATAACTGCCCATCCTCCAGGGTCCAGGCTGTTCTCACACCATAGTTGCATTGGCTCATTACTATTTTCAGGTTTGATCATATAAATCCCGCTGTTGGAATGCCCAGCTTCCTTGGCTTGTTGGCAGTCTTTGAATGGACCTTTTTGAAAGAAATACTGTAAGCATTCAAGCTTGGCTATGCAGGGGACATTGTTCAAGCATATTTTGTAATGGTAATGGAAAGCCAGTAATTAAGGTAAAACTACCATGGAAAACAGTGTAAAAAGTTACTGTCTTAGATTAGTTGTGTATATATAAACAAACATGTCAATATTTCATATGTATTTAAACAAAAACTTGATTTTACTAAACAGATAATGATGGGTTACCAGCACCTATTTTTTTTAACTTCATCTATTGTGTCAGATCTATACACTGACTTTGATATTTAAGTGCATTATGATTTTTGCAATTTTTTCCTTCACCTTTCTTCTTCTCTCTTTACCTTTTGTAAAAGGTAAATGTCAGTTTACTACATTGTGCTCTCATCTGAATAAATGTACTAGTGTATCCATTTGAAACTAGTGGAAGTTTAGAATAAACCCAAAACATATGAACAACACACACACACCCTCCCAGTACGTAAATAGTTCTAGAGCTGCTGTAAGAAATATTTACTGCCAAAGTCTACAGACATGGTATTTAGTATAAGAGTATTCGTATGCTGCATAAACTTTTTGCCTTTACATACTTACCCAGTTATAGGATCAGCCTGTTAACTGGGGATAGGAATCTTTTAAAGTTTTGTGTGTCATCCTGGTGTGATATGTGTATATGGATACTGATCAAGCAAATATGTGAGCAATGGGGAGAAGCCCTTTTGAGCAGCTAAAAGGGCTTACTTACTTTTCTTCAAGGCTGTGATTCTACAAAAATGCTGTTGCTGTTGACAGTGCTGCTTGAAAGCTCTATTTTAGACCATGTGAGTAGTGGTTTTACAAATACTACTTACAGAAAAGCATCTGGTTATTCTGCAAGAAACATGCAGCTTGCATATTTCTGAAAATTTTGCCCAGTTTGCCTTTCAGTTTTTGGTAGTATTTTTATTTTCTACCTTTTAGAAAAGGATTTATGTTCATGTATCATTACTTGAGCTGATTTAGAGACTGATTATTTACTATTGAAAAGCAGGGTATGTTCTGATGGCTAGTTAGTGGTCAGTGCCCTAAAAGTCTTTGAAAACTTATACTTGGTAAATCTGAACTTAAATTACCTACAGCTTTCCTCTCATTTTAGGAGGTTCTTTTTCTTAAATCTGCTTGGAAGTTTAGAGAAAACTCATCAGTCAGAGACAGAGCTAATATGCAAAAAAGCATAGAGTTTATTCTTTAATCAAAAGCAGAGGTTGAGTGAAAGCGACCTTCACTGCCGGTTAAGATCGAAAGTTGCCATTTGGATAAGAGTGTAATTAGCAGAAATCCATGAAGTATTTCATATTGGAGTGCAAAAACCTTGTGTATCTAATGAAGGTGACTGCTTGGAGCTTCTGACTGTGCCAGTGCTACCAGGAATGCTGTAGGCATTAAGCCATCATAAGTACTCCTGCATACTGTACTGTCAGTATTTTTCAATGTTTTTGTTGTTCTAGCAGTGCATGCAGCAGTACCTTAGGAAAGAAGTACTGTAATTTTGGTCTATGAGGGATTTTTTTCTTGCTCACAATTAAAATTTCCATGTAGATTGCGCACATTGCAAAGCTTGTCCAGTGGATAGGTAATTTCCTCAGCTAAGTTGGGTCTCATTCCCTTTCTTTGAAGTGTGTAAAATAAATTTGGATGCTGTATAACTAAACAGGGAGGTGGTTCTAGAAGTGTTATTGTAAAGCAATTGTTGCATTAGAAAAAGTGTAAGCAAGAAAGTAGTGTTTATTGTAATGTTCACTGAATATTAAGAACAGTTCAGTTAGATCTGCTGTGTATTATTTCACATGATTTCTACTGGAGGAGGAATTGGGGGCTCATTTTTCAATGAGACTCCCAAGCAGATGTTTGGAGTGATTTAAAGTAGCTTTTAAGGCAGGCAGAATTGTGCTAGCCTGGTTATATAATACACTTTGATCACTTCCGAATTTCAGCTGGCATTGAGGTCACAGGATGCATCTTGTCTGCTCTTTGATGCTCAGATTTGACTATGTGATTACCACAAGTTAATGTCGGAGTAGAGGTAACAGACTTCTGCTCTCAGTGTAAGGAAATCCAAGAAATCATATAACTTCTGGTGTATAGCCTCAAATCCCTTTTGAGAAGTTCTTTTGTTATATGTATTTATTTTAAGTTCATGGTGTAAAAACTGATCCATTTATTGTTCAATGAATATACTGAGATTTGTGAAGCAGTGTAACATCTTCCAGAGGGCTGGTAGGAGTGGATGTTCTGGCTAATAAAAAAAATTAGTTTTTCTGTTTAAAATATTGTCACCTATGCAAGGAATAAGTATCTCATGCATGTCTAGTCTTCTGTAACAGTCTGTGTAAACTCCAAGCTGCTGAGACAGCTAGAAATTAGAGATTCTCTGAGATCTGTTAAATATTGCATTTCTAAAATTGCGGTTTTGACTTACGACTTATTTACAACAGAGTATGATCTGTACTTAGATGTAGTGAGAAGGAAAGCGATTAAATATTTTAAGTTGGAAGCTTAATAAAATGACTGAATCCTCTTTAAGATGCCAGATGTTACCTTGAGCAGATGATATAGAAACTGTGCTTATTTAAAGCTTCATACAGAGGATTTTTTAGGCAATAATAGAGGAAAATTCTAAAGTAAAATTGGGCACATATTAAAAAAAATAATAAATCATGTTGTTAATGGAGAGTTATTAGCAGCAGAGCGAGGGCTGTGTGTAACTTTCAAATAATTTGTCTGCTTAAACCTACTTTTTGCAATGTAATGGTAGTAAAATTTTGTGACACTGGCTATTATTCCAAGGACTAAGAGAATTGTGAAAATTATAATTCACAGGAACATTATTCTTCCTCAATTTCTAGAGCCAGTTGTTTATCCTGTCATAACCAAGCCTGACAGATCTGTTTCTAAATGGAGCTGTTCTCATTGGTCTTATCTGACATCTTCATACATTATAAATAGTCACTGTCTTTTAACTGGAAAAATAATTTTTCTGTGACATAGACAGTTTTGGTTCTGTGCACCATTAAATGTGCTTTCCTTTATTTAAGAAATCAGAGGTAATAACTGGGCTTTGTATTGCAGTTTAGAAGTTGCTGTAGCAATTCTGAACCCTCATTTCCCCAGAGCACTGCAAGAAACACTTAAACTTCAAACTCGGGAATCTAGCGCTAAATAAAGGAAGTGGAATAATGTTAAAATAAATTGACTAAAATTTCTTTGTGTTCCTTTGCAGAAATCATTTCAAACTCTGAACTTCTACGGGCAAAGGGGATAGTGAAAACCATGGTAGATAATTTGGAGGAAAATAGTGCTATTCATTTTGTATGTATAGCAGGTGTATATTGAGGGAGAAAAAGATGCATTTATAACAAAACCTTGAAGCATGGGTTTTATGGGAAACGGGAAGTTGCTGGGGCTTTTTTAGGACTACAGTTTTGCTGTTTGAGCAGACATTAACATAGTGCCTTTATATTAGCTGTTTGCTTTGTGTCATGATATGTGATTTAAATTCTCATGACATCTGGCATGTTATTTGGGTTTGTGCTGGAATTTTTTGTAGACCCTGAATAAAAATAGTTGTTCTTTACATCAGCAGCTAGTTGTTTGTAATGCTGTAGAACAGTCCCAAATGAACGTCTGTAATCATTTTAGGAACCAAGCTGAACTTCCAGCTGTGACTACAGGCAATTTAAAAGCAAAAAAAGCCAACCCAACACTCACACACACACCCCTCCCCCAGACCCTCTTGCTGTGCAAGCTAACAGAAGCCAAAAGCAAGCACTTGAGCGGATGTCTGAGAAGAACCTATTTTTCTGAATCTTTAACTGCAATTGTGTCAAAATTTTAATGAACTAAGAAACATGATAGAGTTCAGGGCAGCTCAGAAGTAGTTAATATTCTTATCACTAGTTTTGTTTCCTTTTTTAACCTGAAGAATGTGACACATGAAGATGGGACACAGCCTCCTGAATGTATTTTCATAATATCTGTGGTACTAGTTTAACTTGCCAACCCCTACTGATATCAAATTACTGGCAATGTAGTTACTTATTTTAAATTTTTAAAATTGAGTGCAGTTACCCTTTCAGACTTATCTTATAAGAAACCTATTGCATAGCTGTGTTGATGGAATTAGATGTTAATTTAAAACAGCTCAGAATAGAAGGAGTAAAATCCTTCTAGCAGGATTAACTCTTGGCAAATGTGTATGTGTAAGTATAAAGGACAACTACTTAAACTAACTTCCTTTATTTAAGATGAGATACTTCTATCTTATTCACCATTGCCAGTTACTTTATCATGTAGCTAGTAGGCATCTTCAAAGAAACAGGACTTCATACTAGAAAGTATGAAAGTATATGCTAATATTCAGTTTTGATTCCCATAACTCAAACCCAGCTGAAGACAGAAACCCCAATACTTTGTGACTCAGACGCACAAGTTCTTCAGATTGAATTTCTGAGTATCAACTATTTCAACAAATTCATCTTATGCAGCTCTACCTTAACAAGTAGACTGGCAAACTAAAGCTTTCCTTGGGGCAGGGGGAGAAAATCAGAATCAGGAGCAAGGGCTAGCTGTATCAGATACTTCTTAAATTCTGTATTCCATTTCTATAGCCAGGACAGTTTCCCTCTGAAATAGAGAAATCTTAGGTTACATAGATAGTGATAGGTAACTCACCCTCATTTATTAAAGCCAGTGGTGGTACTCTGAAAGGACTCTTTGTAGGAGAAGTAGCTGGATCAGGCGGTGGTCTTACATCTCTGTCTTTAGGGTAACCTGGGTCTCGCTGTATCTCATTGCCTCCCAGAAGAATGGGAGTGTATGGTTGGCTGTTAGGAATGTGCTGTGGCACAACTTGAACAAGAGGTGGAGACCCATGGGTGTCCTGTCGTGAGAAGATTCGCAAGCACTGCTCTTCTAGCAGGGAGATGGTCACAGACTGATTATTTACAAGATCAGTCAATGCTGCATATTTTACTTCAAGCTCCTTGTATTTTGTTGCCATCTTCAACATTTCTGTTGTAACATTAAGGACTTTGTTTTCCAGTTGGGAAAGCTCAAGTGAGTTATCACGTTTTCGAATAATCTCATGCAAGAGTTGCATGTAGAGTTGGGTGACTCGAGAGTTCATGTTACGGCTTTCTTTCCTCAGTAATTTTACTTCATTTACAATGTTTCCATCCACATCCACTACCAACTGCAAAATGTCAATCTCCCGCTTTTGCTTGGACAGCACATCCTTCAAGTTTTCTATGTCCATTCTTGTGACTTCATCTTTTCTGTTGCCAGTACCTGGTCCATTAGTATTCACGCAAATTGGCCCTGTGATTTTTTGTTCTGGGACCAAGAATGTGTAACCACATTTCTTCCCTTCCTCTCCACTGTCTGGTGAACGAGGATGCCTCCGTTGGGATGTTTTATTCGGCGTAGATTGTTCTGTACAGCGCCCAATAGACAACAGCAAGAACAATAGTACACCCAAAGTCCATTTAAATATCTTCATTTTAAAGCAAGTATGATGACTTTCAGAGGAGACTGTTGAATAGATAAAAAACAAAATCATTAAATAACTAAGGTTCCTGTACTGCTTAAGCTGCCTAAACTGATGGGTTTGCTATGCTTACATGTATGTAGACAGGTCTTTGCAATCTGTTACTTGGAGTTAGAATCCATTAGATTAGCTTCAAAGAATAGCTTTCTCTTTTGAGCAGCAAACCCTAAAATTTTGGTACTGGATTTAGTAGCAAATGGATAAATGCAATGGATAAATTTTCAAAAACAATGTTCTACTTATAGTCTGTATTATGCTTTCATTATAAATTTGACTGCAATTAAATGTACAAGGTTATAGAACATATAAAGTGCTTGCAGAATATCTTCATGGAAGGAAAATAGAAAGACAGTGGCAGTATTTTCAAAAATATCTAAATACGGGAATTTATATAAGCCTTTCTGTTCCTTTTTTAACTTTATATATACATATAGGTGTATAATTTGTTAAATACTACGTACACACATTTTTCAATTTTATACACAGACATAGGAGACTTGAAAAACGCACACACTACTTTTGGATGTTAGTGTTAGGCAGGAGATGAGTGTAAAATAGTTGTCTTTAAACACTGAAAAATTATATTATTCAAGTAACTTTAGATTTATAAGGAAAGGCTATAACACTGTTTGCTCTGCATGTGTCCCTACTCAGTTGCCTTTTGAGATGAACAGTTAAAATTGTTAGCACACTATTTTTGTGTCTGTGAGAGTATTTTTATCCAAATAACACTGAAGTATCAGGTCTGTTATCACTATAAATACCATACGGAAGTGTTTTTAAAGAATATAATATCTTTCTTTTAACTTCGTGTAAATAATTAAAATGCAACATTTAAGATCCAAGAATGATTTGAGACCTGTTTTTTAGCTTTATTTGCTGAATATTTGATATGATGAACAAAGATAGTACTTAAGGAAGAAGAAAAAACAAAACAGAAAAACCCCAAAAACCAACCAACCAAACAGAAAAAAACAAACCCTCATTTTGCATGTTTTATTTACTTTGTCGAGCAGATTTCTGCTCTTATCTCAGCCATTGATCTGTCTTTCCTTGCCCAGACTACTGTTAGCGATCCTAGGAGGCCTTGTACAGTGGCCTTTGTATAGTTACAAAAAGAAATAAAGTAAAACTAGAGAAAGTTAATTTTCATGTTGTTCCTGCCAAGTTCAAGTGCGTTTGACAATCCTGAAACAGTCACCGTGAAGGAGAAACAGACCTATAATGCTTCCTTTACATTAATGTTTACAAATGATAAGGTGACTTTTGTGTCAAGTCACTTCTCCCAGTTCTGTTACTGGCTTTAATGTTATTGCTACTAATGATGTCTTCTCAAGCTTAGAGTAAACATATAAAGTTTTTATTTTTGGCTTCACTAAGGGCAGCGGTTGCAAACTTCAAGCCCTGCTGTGCATGCTGTCAAGAATTATAGCTAGCAATCTTGATCAAATGTTCACCGTCACCTAAAAAATAACTTTTTGTTTGGCTGTTGTATCGCAAGCCCTATTTCTGTGAGGGTAAGAAAACACTTGCTTTTTAACACATACTGAAAATCATTTCTCACCCTACGTAAATGGAGAGGGTACATAAAAATTTTGATAGAGTTTATATTTCTATACTCATTTCTGTATGTTTTTGTTTTACTGTTAGCATGTAGTAATAAGTATTTTTTTGTTTTTTGTTTTTGTTTTTGTTTCTTTTTAGATAGAAGTATCGCTTTCATAATTTCATATATTTAAAATACTAATCACTTGAACAATGTTCATAGTAGGCAGTTCATTAGCTTTAATTTCCACATGAATCATGGTAAATACATGGAAAACAGGTCTGTGTGGTTTCTAACTTGATAAGGATTAGCTGAACTAATGGTTTGAAGTTGATACCTCTTCACATCACCTAAATTATTTTTAAATGCTGTTATGTTCAGTGTTTGCAGATGCAGGAAAGTGACTTCATGGTATATGGTTAAGTTTGAAGCCATAGTACAAGTCCAGTATTTTACTGTTTTCGCAGTACATATCTGCTACTTCATAGTCCAAAAAGGTGAATAACACTCTAGTTTTTGGCAGTTTTTAAGGACCCTACACAGTTACTTAAATATTGAATGGCTAGGGGTTTCCCCACAGCAGCACATTT